AAGTTTTATTAAAACATTAAATGGTTCTCAAGATATCACAAAAATAGCCTAAATATTGGTATGTAAATTAGGCAATTTGCATAATTTTCCACCAAAATCATTCATGTCTATACACATTTAAATATCTTGAGTGGTTATGTTTTCATTACAATCACAATAGACCAATCAAAGAAAACTTAGAACTCCCATGTGCTATGTGAGAATGAGAAACAGTTGACAGAACAAATGGGAAACATTACACATCTCCCTGTGAGAATATAATTTCAATATGGCATCATTGTATAATCTTCCCAAGTTTTGTCCATTTTCCCCGACAACTGTAGTGCATTAAGAAAAAGGTAATACAAAAATCATGAATTTCTAAAATTTTTGATAAATTTGGCCACTTTTAGTGACTGGGTGAAGCGTCATCCAAGCTACATGTGTACCAAGTATCAAAGAATTTGGACTACTAGTTTTGAAGAACAAGTACTATTTTTGATGAAAAATGACAAAATATTTGCTAAAAACGGAGAATTGAAGATGTCAACACAAAATGAACAAATCTGATAGAGGTCCATTCAACGTATATACCATGCTGGTTTGCGAGCAATCGGACTACCAGTTTCGGAGAAGAAGTCGAAAATAGCATTTTTGACAAAAAATTACCATTTTAAAATATTCACCAAAATTAGGAAATTAAAAATTTCCTTACCAAAACTAATAAAGGAACAACCCAAGGCACATGCACTATCAATATCAGCACTATAGATCACTTAGTGTCATAGTAGCATAGAATTAAATTTTAGAGTTTTGGGGGGCTAATTTGCATAATTTTTGGCAGATCGACTTCTCATGAACAAATTACCATCTACACTCATCAAGGCATCCACTAACCAAAAATCCAGTCAAACGGTTTGTTGGTTTTTGAGAAGATGTCGTGCACAGACAGACAGACAGATAGATAGATAGACAAGCCAGTAGGCTGGTTGGCGATCCGTTCCGCTCAAAAACAAGCAACATGTTTTTGACTGTTTCCATGGTGACATAAACATGAAGATAATGTCTGTTTGTAACTAATACAAAGTTCGCAAACACCATTCAGTCTTTAGAAGTCACTTAGTTTATTACTAGGACCACAGTCACTCTACTAGTAGAATGACTGTGCTAGGACGTATTCTGCTGTTACATTTATTATTTCCATAGTAATTTTCTAAAATGAATGAAGCGTTTCCTGTAAATGCTGGAAAGCGAAATAACGAAATGGTAAATAATTACCTCAAGTACAGTGTGTTGACCTTCATAATAATATACTTCATAATGCAAAACACTAGTTATGGTGAGTTATTTAAACATACGACTCATAATCAGAAAAGATGACCACAGTCCAGAATTTCAGACGGATATTAAGCAACCTAAGAACATATCAGAAGAATTTACTCTAAAATATAAAAAAGAACTGCAGTCAAAGTCAAGAATGCCAGCAAATAAAGGACTCTGTTCCACAATCCTTTGTGCGCGTATTACGGACACGCGCAAAAAACTGTACCACGCTTGTCAATCT